AAGGAACAGGGCCAGGCACGGTGGCTCACGCCTGTATCCCAGCACTTTGGGAGGCTGAGGCAGGTGGATCACTTGAGGTCAAGAGTTTGAGACCAGCTGACCAACATGCTCAAAACCCGTCTCTACTAAAAATACAAAAATTAGCTAGTTATCATGCTCACACCCGTAATCCCAGTTACTCAGGAGGCTGAGGGCAGGAGATATCGCGGACCAGAGTGGGAGGTTGCAGTGAGCCAAGATTGCACCACTTGCACTCCAGCTGGGCGACAGAGCGAGACTCCACTCAGAAAAAAAACTTAAAAAGAAAGATCACCAAATGATGAAAATCTTAGGGAACTAGGCCAGTGGGTGGCCACGCCTGTAATCCCACCACTTTTGGGAGACTGAGGGGGTGGATCACTTGAGGTCAGAGTTCGAAACAGCCTGGCTAACATGCTGAAACCCACCTCCACTAAAAATACAAAATCTAGCCGAGTATTTTGTGCACACTGTGGTTCCAGCTACTCAGGAGGCTGAGGCAGGAGAATCGGCCTGAACCCAGGAGGTGGAGGTTGCAGTGCCCTTGAGGTTGTACACTGCCATCCCAGCCTGGTGACAGAGCGAGACTCCATCTCAAGAAGAAAAGAAAGAAAGAAAGAAAGAAGAAGAAGAAAGAAGAAAGAGAAGATGAGAGAGAAAGAGAAAGAAAGAGAAGAAGAAAGAAGAAAGGAAAGAAGAAAGAAGAAAAGAAGAAAGAAAGAAAAAGAAAGAATATCTCTGTGGTTCCTGAATCCAGTGACAGGTTGTCCTTTTAAGAGACAGAAGAGGAGACACAGACACAGAGGAGGAGGCCACGTGGAGACAGAGACAGAGACTGGAGTGATGCAGCCACAAGCCCAGGGACGCTGGGAGCCCCCAGGAGCTGGGAGAGGCAGAAAGGACCCTCCCTTAAAGGCAAAAAGCCACAGGAGACAGGAAGAGCCACCTTTCTGTCCACAGCTGAGTTCCGTGTGGCTCTCATGTCCGGCAAAAACGTGGGGTCCCAAGCAAGTTCTCGATATTACTGGATGGGTCTTGGGGTTTACTCTTGTCGCCCAGGCTGGAGTTGCAAATGGAGTGATCTCCGCTCACCGCAACCTCCGCTTCCCGGGTTCCAACGATTCTCCTGCCTCAGCCTCCTGAGTAGCTGGGATGACAGGCACCTGCCACCACGCCTGGCTAATTTTGTATTTTTAGGTAGAGAGACGGGTTGTCACTGTGTTGGTCAGGCTGGGTCTCGAACTCCCGGACCTCAGGTGATCCGCCTGCCTCGACCTCCCAAAGTGCTGGGATGACAGGCTTGAGCCCACCGGCGCCCGGCCCTTGTTGTTGTTTGAGATGGAGTCTCGCTCGTTTTGGCCAGGGTGGAGTGCAGTGTGCAATCTTCAGCTCACTGGCAACCTCCACTCCCAGATTCATGCGATTCTCCTGCCTCAGCCTCCCGAGTAGCTGGGATGACAGGGCACCTGCCACCACGCCCGGCTAATTTTGTTTTTTAGTAGAGAGACAGGGTTTCCACCGTGTTGGTCAGGGCTGGGTCTCGAACTCCTGACCTTCAGGTGATCCGCCCCGCCTCGGCTCCCAAAGG